ATTCACTCTCATCGTTGCTAGATAAGTGATGCAGAATTGTTTCTAATTTTATAAAAATTGGTTCTTATTTTTGTTATTTTTTATATTGTAATAAATAAATTAATTTTATTAAAAACTAATTATTAAAAATATAGATCAAAAAAATATTGGCATAATTTCATTGATATTAGGGAATCTTTGTTCAATTTCATCCACTAACCTTTTTAAAATTCTGGTACTTTGTTTCTTTTTAGGAGGATGTTTCCACTAACTCTTCCCAAGGTACCATTTTTTTGTAAAGGTAGAAAGAAGACAAGAGAAGCATTATTACTTCCTTGTAATTCACTTCTTATAAAGATGTTCATTTGACCCCACATTTTTAAAAAGCTTCTCAGATTTGTTCCTTCTTTGCTCATATATGTGCTACCTTTATGTAGTGAAAATTATTAGGAATTTGGGTGGGCCCACCCAAATATTATTATCACAAAAGTGCCCCTCCTTGAAATAATAATCATCATTCATATCATAAGCTTTTTTCCTTTATTTTTTTTTATTAATAGCAAGAAGTTATTATTATTAGAGGAGCTTTAATAGTATTATTTATTTTAAAGACCACCTTCTTTTAAATAATAAAAAACAAATGTTATATAGAGTAAAACTTTGTAAACAACTCCAATAAGATTGTCCATTCTAAATAAAGGATATTTATTTAATGAAAATTAGATGTGTTTTTTTTCCATTCAATAATAATAGAATGTAAAGTGGGTTTGACTGTCCAAACAAATAGAGAGTTTGTTTTAGTGTTTGATTTTTGGAAGTTTACTTTCTAAAAAAGAGAACTGAGTAAAAATATAGAACCAATTAGAGATAGTATTAACTTGCTACGTGTGATTTGTAGGTGTCATTTAGCTTTTTTATCACAAAGGAAGGATTATTTAAGAATAGACAACTCAAAAACTTCTCATTGATACTTTTTTTTTTATTTTGGTCATTTTTCCTAACACGATGACTTTTTAAGGGGTCGCTCATCTCAATACTATTTTCTCTTAAACACAATTAACTGCAGAGTTCTGATGAGATTTGGTACATTTGTTCTCATCTATTCATCGGATTTCATAGTGTATAATTTAGAATTGACAATAAAGGGTAGCCAAATCCCTAGTCATATATATATGGTCGGCCTATAATTGGGATAATCTCTGGTTAGAGGTGGAATTAAAATAGTAAACATAAAAAAAAGAAATGTATTTGTGTCTCAATTTAAGAAGCATGATTTAGATGAAAGAATCCTTGACTAAATCAATGCATACTAACATATTCAAAGATAACTAAGAGATAGAAAGTAATCATTTTTGTTATATAGTATTGTAATCTTCAATGATTTGTGGCTTTTAGAAGTGAGTTACCCTTTAATTAAACAAATATAATGTTTTTCCAATGGGGTTTTACTAGTTTTAATAAGTAAATTGAAAGTGAGTGGGTAGGTTGATATGGAAATCTGTAAATATAATTAGATTGATGCTCATTGATGTAATCGCCTAATAAATAATTTGCTAGTTGGTCCATCTTAATAGTTTTACTTGGCCTTACAATTTATTATATGTTTTGGGGAAATGACACATGAATTTACTTGGCACATTTTTGACCACTTCTTCTCACAAATCTCTTGTAATAATTTCTTTATTTTTCTTTCTTGTTCTCTCTAATATTAATAAAAGAGAGGTTGAGAGTAGATATTTCAATGAATTGAATTTTGATATAAATTTAATTAGTCAGATATGAATTAATTTTATTTTTTGATTTATAATCTAAACTTGAATTGGATATCTTATATTTTACACATTCAAATACATTTATATCTAATTTGAAAATCTTAGAGAGAAAGAGTGAAGAGTGCGGAGAGGAAGATAAAATTCAATGTGAATTGTTTTGAGAGGAATATTGGTGACCGTTGGATGAGTTTATTTGAGATTGTCATATAGACTTATTGAAACCTGTCTTGTTTTATATTATAATTATAATTATAAATTTGTTTAAATTTAGTTAATTAAGTTATTCAGATTAGATCAAATCAAATTCCAAATTATTAAACGGATTCGAATATAGATCACGGAAATAAAATTTGTCAAATTATCGAATTAGCCTTTTGAAATCGAATTCAAATTCGAATCAGTCAAAATCGAATCCGTTAACAAGACTAATTAAAAGTAAGCCTATATTTTTTTTTTAAAGGTGGAAGGGGGGTGTCTATGGGCCGGGTTATCCATGGGGTCTCGTTATTCGACTCAAAAAATAGGTCCGAAGTCCGATAGTTGACCCACCCGAATCCGAGTCCAATATCCTTAAAAAGAGGGCTTGAGTTTGCCCCCAAACTCATTACCAGGCCCGAAGCTCGACCCAAGAGCCCGCCTGTAAGTCCAGGCCAACCTACCATTCCTTTGAAAAAAAATTATACTTTTAGAACATTAAATTTGAAATTTTGAAATAAGTCTCTCAATATCGAAATTTGAAGTTTCAAAAATTTAGATATTATAAATAATGTATTATTTTTTTTCCATGTATTAAGCATATAAGTTTTAAATGGTATAATAATACAAATGACAAATAAGTTAGTAGGTGTTAGTCTAGTTGGGATTTATTCAATCTATTAGATGTAGTTCATTATTTTATTTTTATTTATTTTGACTTTACTTTTGATTCAAAAATATAATTTACACAAATATTAAGTTACAANGAGTTACCCTTTAATTAAACAAATATAATGTTTTTCTAATGGGGTTTTACTAGTTTTAATAAGTAAATTGAAAGTGAGTGGGTAGGTTGATATGGAAATCTGTAAATATAATTAGATTGATGCTCATTGATGTANGGGTTACCCTTTAATTAAACAAATATAATGTTTTTCCAATGGGTTTTTACTAGTTTTAATAAGTAAATTGAAAGTGAGTGGGTAGGTTGATATGGAAATCNTACAAACAGGCCCGCCTAATAGGCTCACGGGTTAGGCTACGGGTAGCTTACCCCTGCCCGAAACTCGGCTCGGCCCGCCCGATAACTCACTTGGGTAAGGGCTTAGGCTTATACTATCCAGCCCGGCCTGACCCATGGACACCCCTAGAAAGAGCATGAACCCTTGATCTAAAAAAGACAAAGCGGTCACAAGATAAAGAGATTATCCTCTCTCCAAAGATTTTTTTCAATTGACACATTGGCCCCCATCAATAATTTCCATCGAAAGTTAGAATACGACAAAACTCANTGATTTATAATCTAAACTTGAATTGGATATCTTATATTTTACACATTCAAATACATTTATATCTAATTTGAAAATCTTAGAGAGAAAGAGTGAAGAGTGCGGAGAGGAAGATAAAATTCAATGTGAATTGTTTTGAGAGGAATATTGGTGACCGTTGGATGAGTTTATTTGAGATTGTCATATAGACTTATTGAAACCTGTCTTGTTTTATATTATAATTATAATTATAAATTTGTTTAAATTTAGTTAATTAAGTTATTCAGATTAGATCAAATCAAATTCCAAATTATTAAACGGATTCGAATATAGATCACGGAAATAAAATTTGTCAAATTATCGAATTAGCCTTTTGAAATCGAATTCAAATTCGAATCAGTCAAAATCGAATCCGTTAACAAGACTAATTAAAAGTAAGCCTATATTTTTTTTTTAAAGGTGGAAGGGGGGTGTCTATGGGCCGGGTTATCCATGGGGTCTCGTTATTCGACTCAAAAAATAGGTCCGAAGTCCGATAGTTGACCCACCCGAATCCGAGTCCAATATCCTTAAAAAGAGGGCTTGAGTTTGCCCCCAAACTCATTACCAGGCCCGAAGCCCGACCCAAGAGCCCGCCTGTAAGCCCAGGCCAACCTACCATTCATTTGAAAAAAAATTATACTTTTAGAATATTAAATTTAAAATTTTGAAATAAGTCTCTCAATATCGAAATTTGAAGTTTCAAAAATTTAGATATTATAAATAATGTATTATTTTTTTCTATGTATTAAGCATATAAGTTTTAAATGGTAGAATAATAAAAATGACAAATAAGTTAGTAGGTGTTAGCCTAGTTGGGATTTATTCATTTTATTAGATGTAGTTCATTATTTTATTTTTATCCATTTTGACTTTACTTTTGATTCAAAAATATAATTTACACAAATATTAAGTTACAAAAATATTCATTATTTTTAAATAAAGATGTATATAAAAAATCCTGCAAACAGGCCCGCCTAATAGGCTCACGGGTAGCTTATCCCTGCCCGAAACTCGACTCGGCCCGCCCGATAACTCACTTGGGTAAGGGCTTAGGCTTATACTACCCGGCCCGACCCATGGACACCCCTAGAAAGAACATGAACCCTTGGTCTCAAGAAGACAAAACGTTCACAAGATAAAGATAAAGAGATTATCCCTACTCCAAAGATTTTTTTCAATTGACACATTGGCCCCCATCAATAATTTCCATCGAAAGTTAGAATACGACAAAACTCACGGTTAACCATAACGCCTTCACACAAACCAACCCATAACATCAACGTAAAACGAATCCTACCAATCAAACGACTGACGGAAACCAGTCACCGTTAAAAAATAAAGCCGTGGACCCCACACAAGTAAGACCCAGTCCAGGGTCAGCCACTCACTCAAACTAGGCGGCCAATTCTCTCTCCTCACTGTTTTCACGCGTTGCTAACACCGAAAGTCGGTGAGAACCCTCCCCACCATTTCCTCATCTGTCTCTCTCCCCCCTCTATATACCCCCCCCTTCCCTGATACCTCCATTTCCAAGTTCAAGCCGCCATAGCCACAACAATAGAGCCAGATATTTCTTGTTTGTTTTACTTTTTTTCTGTTCTTTGAAGAGGGAAAATAGACTCCCTATTTCTCTTAAGAGAGAGAGAGAGAGAGAAATATAGACACCATTTTCGTTTTTCCTCGATGCTCTAACGTTGGCTTGTTGTAATTTAGACCACCCAATTGTTTTTTATTTTGGTTAGAAATGGGTACGGAGGTATTGCGTCCACAAGATTATCTGATTGAAAGAATCAGAATAGCTCCGGCGGTGTTACATAATCGCCGGAAAAATGAAAAACACAAAACAAACAACCAAAGCGGTTACCGCAAACCGGTGGTCCGGCAGGAGAAGATGACGGACCAGAAAAAGCGGTTTAACTATTCACCGGAGCCGATGATTTCAAAGAGATCGTCAAGCGCTGATGGTTTCAACCTCAACAACAACAATAACAACCCAGTGATGGGGAAGGTAACGATTTTGAGAAGAGGACAGTCGTTGGATTCGTTCGACTCGAAGATAAAGAGCGAGAAAATGACGCCGTTGAAGAAGAGTGGAGACGATTTGGCCGTGTATGGTACAGGAAGGTTGGGTCCGGATCCGGGAATGGTTCCGAAACAAATCAGGCTATCTCCGGTGGCCGGAAATGGCTTGTCCGGCGGCGTGTATGCCGGATCGGCGTTCTCGATGTCTCCATCGCCTCGGTCTTTGCCTTTGCCTTCTTTTTTCTACAAGAAACAAGCTGTTGAAGATTCAGCTACAAGGGATCTCAGGCGTTTGCTTCGTCTTGAATGATATCAAGTGTTTCATCGGTGTTTCTTCTGGTACCAATCTCTACTTCGTTCGACTCAATTTTTCTGGGTCTGAAATTTTCCATGATTTTTTTTTCAGAAATGGAGATTTCACAGATCTGAAAATTGGGAAGAAGAGAAAAAAAAAGAATCGAAACTGAAATTAGAGATGGGTATTATCTAGTATTTGACGGGGTTAATTTGGGGTTATGATGTAAATTATGGGGTAGAAGAAGAAAATTGGAATTGAAGTGGGGTTGGTTTATAAATTAGAGTATGAAATATCTGTGGAAGATTATAGTATGGGCAGGGAGGTCTGATGTGAATTGTTATGCTTTGTTTTAGGTGGTGTTGATGAGTGATGAAGTGTTATTAGTATGTTTATATAAGTAAACTTAAGATTAATATTTATGGGAAAATTTGGGCAGGTTTGGTTTTTATTTCATTTCCCTTTTGATTTTTTCTGGGTGTAGTTTTTGTTTTTTCCTTTTCTTATTTGTGTAAGCTTTGTTCTTGTGTACAATAGAATGTAGGTGAATCTCATCTTTATTAATAAGAGGTAAGTGCTATAGATTTGTGTAATTGTGTCTTGTGTTTTTTCATTGCTATATGTTTGTGGTTCTTCATTGGAGTATTGTTCTCTTTCACTAAATTATTGTATTGTGTTGTATCATTTGAGATATAATATATAATATAGCATTTGATAAACTCATGAATGCATAACTTTATTGTATTTTATTGAAGGGGGTGGGTATCATGCATAGCTTTTATTGTATTTTATTGAAGGGTGGTATCATGTATTTTGTTTTTGGTTCAAGTGGTCACGGTGTTTCCAGATTGGTCTTGGTCAAACGTAAATCATTAATCTCTTACAGAGTACGGTAAATTTTTTAAAATTTCATTGAGATATTGTGTCAAGATTAAAAAATAGTTAACGGGTCCCACAGATTAATGGGTTTCCTCACCCTTGTTACAGTATCTCTAGCTTTCATTTAAATTTAAATTTGAAAAAAATAATAATTTAAAATTTGTTCTAATATTTGATTCAAATTTCTTTGAATTTTTTTACTTAAATTAACAAATGTTTTATGATAGAAGTTTATTTTTTATAAATGTTTAATAGTCATTTTTATTTTTATTTAAATTTAAGTTTGTTCTTATTTAAAATTAAAATTTTTTCATTGGAGCTTTTTGTATCCAATTAAATTTTTNGGGTATGAAATATCTGTGGAAGATTATAGTATGGGCAGGGAGGTCTGATGTGAATTGTTATGCTATGTTTTAGGTGGTGTTGATGGGTGATGAAGTGTTATTAGTATGTTTATATAAGTAAACTTAAGATTAATATTTATGGGAAAATTTGGGCAGGTTTGGTTTTTATTTCATTTCCCTTTTGATTTTTTCTGGGTGTAGTTTTTGTTTTTTCCTTTTCTTATTTGTGTAAGCTTTGTTCTTGTGTACAATAGAATGTAGGTGAATCTCATCTTTATTAATAAGAGGTAAGTGCTATAGATTTGTGTAATTGTGTCTTGTGTTTTTTCATTGCTATATGTTTGTGGTTCTTCATTGGAGTATTGTTCTCTTTCACTAAATTATTGTATTGTGTTGTATCATTTGAGATATAATATATATATATATATATAGCATTTGATAAACTCATGAATGCATAACTTTATTGTATTTTATTGAAGGGGGTGGGTATCATGCATAGCTTTATTGTATTTTATTGAAGGGTGGTATCATGTATTTTGTTTTTGGTTCAAGTGGTCACGGTGTTTCAGTTGTTTCCAGATTGGTCTTTGTCAAACGTAAATCATTAATCTCTTACAGAGTACGGTAAATTTTTTAAAATTTCATTGAGATATTGTGTCAAGATTAAAAAATGGTTAACGGGTCCCACAGATTAATGGGTTTCCTCACCCTTGTTACAGTATCTCTAGCTTTCATTTAAATTTAAATTTGAAAAAAAAAATAATTTAAAATTTGTTCTAATATTTGGATTCAAATTTCTTTGAATTTTTTTACTTAAATTAACAAATGTTTTATGATAGAAGCTTATTTTTTATAAATGTTTAATAGTCATTTTTATTTTTATTTAAATTTAAGTTTGGTCTTATTTAAAATTAAAATTTTTTCATTGGAGCTTTTTGTATCCAATTAAATTTTTTACTTAAATATTAATTTAAGTTTTAAGTAAAAATTAAAAATGATCTTTTATGGGTGATTAGTTGGGCATATATTCAAAGAACACTCGGGTCCTGTTTGATAATATTTATGTTTTTTATTTTTCGTTTTTATTTTGATATTTTAAAAAAATAAAGAAAAAAAATTCGTTTGATAATCGGTTTTATTTTATTTATTTGGTGTCATTATTTTGTAAACAAGGAACGATTTTCACAAACGAAAAAAATATATTTTTTATTTTTTAATTCTATTTTTTGATTTTTAGAAAATCAAAAATTATAACCATTACCAAACGAGCCTCGGTGCTGGCTGTGTGTTTCTGTTTCCATGGTGTGAAAAAAAAAAAAAAAATCATTCGGTGGGGGTAGAGGATGGTAGGTATGAATGACAGAATGAGCACGAATCGTCCATTTTTGGGGCTTCGCGAACACCGATGCATCTGTGCCAGAAATGACCTAATCATCTTGACCCACTCGTTGCANTGAGCACGAATCGTCCATTTTTGGGGCTTCGTGAACACCGATGCATCTGTGCCAGAAATGACCTAATCATCTTGACCCACTCGTTGCATTCTGTTTTTACGAGAAGGACTAAGGAGCGTGGTAGCTTCGCACCCACATGTTTGCTCATCCAGCTTATGCGTGTTGAACTGTCAATGTTTGTTGAAAGGACTTGACTACCGTACCCCAAAAATTAAAGGAGTAATTACACTAAAGATTTCTAAAATATAGAATTTTTATATTTTAATTATATAATTTTAGTCTTTAAAATATTAAATATATTTTTATATAGTCTTTTAAACAAAAATTATTCAAATTATTAACGACTTTAAATCATAAATTTGTTACATGATATTAAAAATATGGTTAAAAAATAATTTATGTAGCTCTTAATCAAAATTTAGGTTAATTTTTAATTAAAATTTGAGTAGCTATTGATAAAAAATGTGTCATATTAATAGTTTTTAACCAAAATTTAGATACTTCATGATCAAAATTGTGTAATTTTTATAAAAATTTAACCAAAATTTGGTCGGGCATTATCTAAATTATTTTTTTATTCATGTTTATGTATTATGTGAGAAAATATAATAAAAAATTATTAACAATTTAAATATTGTCTGCTTGAGAGACTATAGAAAAATATATCCAATATTTCATAGATTAAAATGATACAATTAAAATATTAGGGACCAAAATAAGATAAATTTCATATATTGGAGACCCAAAGTGTAATTAACCCAAAAATAAAATTTTATATCACAAATTTTACTATTTTAATGAGTTTTTTTATAATTTTTATGTGTCATTTTATAACAAAATAATTTATCATTTTTATGGATAATTTACTACTATTATGTGTGTTTTTACTACTATTGTTGTGATAATTATTTTTATCATTTTTTTCTATACAAAAAAAATTATCACTTTTGTAGATAATTTATTATTTTAATGGATATTTTTACCATTATTATGATAATTTTTTTTATCNATAATCTAAACATTGTCTGCTTGAGAGACTATAAAGAAATATATCCAATACTTCATAGATTAAAATGATACAATTAAAATATTAGGGACCAAAATAAGATAAATTTCATATATTGGGGGACCTAAAGTGTAATTAACCCATAAATAAAATTTTATATCACAAATTTTACTATTTTAATGAGTTTTTTTTATAATTTTTATATGTCATTTTATAACAAAATAATTTATCATTTTTATGGATAATTTACCACTATTATGTGTGTTTTTACTACTGTTGTGATAATTATTTTTATCATTTTTTTTATACAAAAAAAATTATCACTTTTGTAGATAATTTATTATTTTAATGGATATTTTTTACCATGATAATTATTTTTATCATTTTTTTGATATCACAATTATAATAAAAATACTCCTAAAAAAAAAACTTACAAAAATAATAAATATTAGTACGGTACCATTTTTTAGTCCTTGTTAAAATATCAATGGTTGTTTTTGGTTGGAGACTACGGAGAGATTCCTTCCACCACTTCACCGGACAAGAATGGNATAATTTTTATGTGTCATTTTATAACAAAATAATTTATCATTTTTATGGATAATTTACTACTATTATGTGTGTTTTTACTACTATTGTTGTGATAATTATTTTTATCATTTTTTTCTATACAAAAAAAATTATCACTTTTGTAGATAATTTATTATTTTAATGGATATTTTTACCATTATTATGATAATTTTTTTTATCATTTTTTTGATACCACAATTATAATAAAAATACTCCTAAAAAAAAAACTTACAAAAATAATAAATATTAGTACGGTACCATTTTTTAGTCGTTGTTAAAATATCAATGGTTGTGTTTGGTTGGAGACTACGGACAGATTCCTTCCACCATTTCACCGGACAAGAATGGGTGCACAACATCTTTAATACCACAATCCTCTTTGGCTTNTCATATATTGGGGGACCTAAAGTGTAATTAACCCATAAATAAAATTTTATATCACAAATTTTACTATTTTAATGAGTTTTTTTTATAATTTTTATATGTCATTTTATAACAAAATAATTTATCATTTTTATGGATAATTTACCACTATTATGTGTGTTTTTACTACTGTTGTGATAATTATTTTTATCATTTTTTTTATACAAAAAAAATTATCACTTTTGTAGATAATTTATTATTTTAATGGATATTTTTTACCATGATAATTATTTTTATCATTTTTTTGATATCACAATTATAATAAAAATACTCCTAAAAAAAAAACTTACAAAAATAATAAATATTAGTACGGTACCATTTTTTAGTCCTTGTTAAAAT